GGTGAGGGTCAGGCCGTGTGGTGAGGCTGGGTGAGGGTCAGGCCCCAGCACCCAGACCTGGCTCCCCACAGGTTTCATTTTCTTCTCTAAAATCATTTCTCACAAGTTTATTGTGTGGTTTTGCCGGGGATGGTGTCAGACCATGGCAGCATGCGGTCTGCAGAATCCTCGATTCCTTCCATTGTGCAGACAGTCTCGCCTGGCCCAGCACCACTGCCTGTGACAGCTGCTGCCCTCACGCCAGTTTTGGGTCTCTGGAGCCAGTGCAAACCAAAGGCTCCGGTGGCGATGCCCACCTGGTGAGCCAGGGCCTCATGTCTTCAGCTCTGTGCCTTAGGACCGTGCGTGGCTCAATCTGGTCTCTACTTCTTGGGTCTGTGGCCTGGGGCCACTTCTCTTTCTCTGAGCTCCAGCGTCCTTCTGGGCAAGAAGGGGGATGACAGCATCTTTTTCATGAGGTAGCTGTGAGGACAGAAGAAGAAAGTTCAAACACTGGAAGTCCCCGTGCTTGCCCCCGATCTGCCCAGCACAGGGCACCGGGGGTGCGAACCCCCGAGCTGTGTGGGACCAGGTGTGCAGACACAGGGGTCGGTGTTTGCACATTACGTGCGTGGCCTGAGCCGTGGGTGCCTTGCAGCGTGTGTGCCACCCTCCACAGCCCCATGCGCAGGGCTGTTCTGATGCCATGTCGTCGACAAGGACACCGGAGTGTGAGGTTTGCTTGGGTCAGCCAGGCGCACAGCTGGGGCTGGTCCAGGCTGGACGCCGATGGGCGAGGGCAGCTCGGGAACCGCTCATGTGTTTGCTCCGTGAAGCAGAGGAACTAGTGGGCAGTGGCCCACGGCCCTGGGTTGGGTCTGGGAAGAGAAGCAGGTGGACCCGGGCTGGCAGCAGAACTTGTCCAGCACCAGACCAGATGTCTGGCCCCTCACTGTTGGCACAGCCCCACAGAGTCGAGGGTGAGGGAGGTTTGAAGCTTGTGGTGGGGTGTGGAGGGAGGGTCAGTGCAGCTGCCAGTGGACACATGGCTGCTGTCCCCACACCCACCTAGTACCCATGTGCTTGCTGGTCCCGAGGGGCTGGGATGGAGCTGAGTGGACAGGGCCCCTCACCCTCACAGGGTCTGGTCAGGAGGGAGCTGCTGACCACTCTACCCCCCAGGGGCGTCTTCCACCCACGTTCTCAGGTTACACGATAGTGTAGTAAAATTTCCAGATCGTTTTGATAACCAAAAACACCAATTTTTAAGCCATTAATTAGTGTTAGCTAGTAAGACCAAAGCCATCGCTTTATGGCAGATTTGAAAGGTGTCTCTGGGTCCCGGGCTGGGTTCCTCCCTCCGTGGCTCTGCCTGCTTTCTTCCCAGGGTCTTTTCCAGCACGGCCCCCGTCTCTCCACTTTCTCCACAACCCCACCTGGGAGGCTTTGTGGCCCCAGGTTTGCACAGAGCCACATTTTAGGCTCCTAGCCTAGGTTGGCAGGTTCTGTTCCCCATCTGTCTGTCCATCCAGATTGTCTGCTCAGCACACACTGGGCGGCCTGTCTTCCAGAGCAGGGGGATGACAGGCAGTACCGGGCCATGCGCTGATGAGTGCTGAGAAGGGCAAAGGCAGAGGGGAGTGGGGGAGGTCAGGATGGCGTGGGCCCCGATGGCCCTCCCTACCCTGGTCCTCTCCCTGGTGTTACCCGAGTCCCCCCAGCGGCGGGGGTGGGGTGGGATCTTGGGAGGGTCTGGGCGGCAGGCCTCTGAGGGTGTAAGAAGCCTGGGGGCACCCTGGGTGCGGGGGCTGAGGGCAGTGGGTGGAGGGCCCTGAGGTCTGGTGCTGACGCAGTGCCCCCTTGGCTGTGCAGAGAAGCTGGATGAGATCCTGGCGGCGGCCGCAGAGCCAACCCTGAGGCCTGACATCGCGGACGCCGACTCAAGAGCAGCGACCGTCAAGCAGCGGCCCACCAGCCGCAGGATCACGCCGGCCGAGATCAGCGTGAGCTGGGCACCTGGCAGGGGACTCCTGGGCGTGTGGAGGTCACGGGGTGGGACCTGGGTCACGCAGTGTGGGCTCTGTGACTCTGTGTGGGTGGCTGTGGCTCCCAAGCCCTCCCTGGGACCCCACCCCCTGCATGTGGCCCAGCTGGGTTGTTGGTGCGGGGACAAGGGACCTTATGCAATGCGCAGTGCTGTTGGGCATTCCCTGGGGGGTCCCGCACACCGGTGTGCTCTGGAACTTGTGTGCCTCTCGGGCGTTTGTGCATTTCCATGGGGTGAGAGTCCATCATTCTGACCCCACCGTTGGGAGGGGAAGGGCCCACGGCCTCTCCCAGGCACACTCAGGCCAGCTTAGCCTGTCCTGGGGTCACTGTACCACACCCAGGGCCCCCAGGCCTCGGAATGTCCCCCGACACCTTGGCCACCCCTGCACCTGCTAGGGTGAAGCCGGGGTCTGATTCCTGGGTCCGGGCGCCTAGGTCTCTGGCACCCCTGGAGTGAGTGGGTAGGGTGTCTGGTCTGATGCTCAGAAGCGGGATGGGTGGGGACTGGAGGAGAACTGAGGCACCAGGGCCCTAGAACCTCCATGTCACCCTGACCCCACAGTCGTTGTTTGAACGCCAGGGCCTCCCGGGCCCAGAGAAGCTGCCCGGCTCACTGCGGAAGGGGCTTCCACGGACCAAGTCTGTAGGTACGGCCAGGCTGGATGTGGGGCTGATGGGCCAGGGCCCAGGGTGGGATTGGGGCCCCGGGTGGGATACAGACTCTGGGGTGGGATCTGGGCCTTGAGGACATCTGCCTCTTGGGTCCTCCCTGGCTCTCTGTCACCTGACTCTCCTTTGTCTCTTCCCACCCCCCAGACCCCGAGAACTGGGGTCTCCAGTTTCCATCCACATCCTCCCCCTCCCCTGGCACCAACCCAGGGACCTAATGTGTTTGTGGGACATACGTGAGGTCAGTCCTCCCCCCACCCCAGAGATAGGTTGCTGGAAGACACTTGAGGCTCCCCCTACCCCCCTGCTATCTACCACCTCTTGCCCACGGGGTCCCCCTCCATCCGCACCCCTGCCCACTGGGTGTTCTTCTGTCCACTGTGCCCGTGCACTGGCCCCCCTCCATCCACCGCCCCTATCTGTGCCCCCCATCCACCACCCCCCACCTATGACGCCACCTCTCCTCTATGCCGTCACCCCCTAAGGACACCAGCGCCCCTTTCTCTCAGGTCTGTGTCTCCACTTCCTGGCTGCTCCCCACTCGGCAAAGTGCACGTTAAGTCTCTAATCCTAAAAATACTCTTCCTGGAACCTGCCTCCCCCTCGAGCTGTTGCTCAACTCCCTCCTCCCCTTTACAGCCACTTTTCTCAAAAACATCCCCACACTTGCTGTCTGTCTGCAGCCCTTCACCCCTTCCTGCCCGTCGGCCACGCGGCCGGTGGTGTCCACACCCACACTGATGCTCCCGCCGGCCCCTCGTCCCTGCACGGCGCCCTCTTCTTCCTGACCTCGATGTGGCATGTGGCTCCCCTTTCTGCTCCCTCCTTTATGAAGCCCATCCCCCAGGGTCTCATGACGACACTCCTGGCCCTCCTTTCTCAGCTTCACCCCCCGAATGTTGGTGCTTCTCCTTGGCCTCTTCCCACTCTGCCCCAGGCTCCCTGGTGGCCGCATCCACCCAGCTCCGTCAGTGCTCGGCCTCCTGGCCAGCCTTTTCTCTTGACCCCAGCCTGCTCACTCATCTCCATGTGCTGTTGCCCCCCACCCCCCATGCCCTTTACCCATCAGTGAACGCCACCTGCACTCACTGCGACCAAGTGCTGTTGCCCACACTGGTCACTGACTGCTTACAGTAGCCCTGTGGGGTAAGTACTATGAGCACCTGTTTTCCAGATGACGAAACTGAGGCAGACAGGTAAAGTGTCCTGCCCAAGGTCCCACAGCAGCCCTACCCATCTTCTGTCCACTCAGTGACTGGCCAACTGCCCAAACTTCTGACCACTCACCCATCCGGGGCCATGTCAGCTGATGTTCATTCTGGGCCAGTGCCAGCCTGGGTCTGGGGGCAGAGAAGCCCCCCAGGTCATAGCTCCCACGCTCGAGTGGCTTAGTTGGGGAGGTGGCAGGTGTGCAGACATCCTGGTGGTCCCACAGAAGACACACTCAGGTGCTGTGGGAGCAGACCAGGGTTCCAGCCACACCTGGGCATACGGGTGCTGGGGGCATTGGGCGTAGACACGCAGGACGAGTGGGGCTTCCTGGGGACACACGGGGTCAGCGTGTAAGAGGCACTCTAGTGTGTAGGGGGGCTTGAGGCTGCACACGCATCCTTCATCTGCAAAGGCCCCAGGTCTAGGCATCACCTCTGTAGGCCCCCTGCTGGGGAGCTCACCCTCCCCCTGGACTCCCGGACCTCATGCGCACTCGGATGGTGAGATGACGGGCTCCCTCTGCCTGCCCCTTGGCCTCCAGCCACCCCATGAGCACTGGTTGCTTCGCTGCCTAGGCCCCCAGCCTGTGCCCCAGCTGTGGAGCTGGGCACACAGTTTGACCCTTGGAGCCTCGGGGTCTAGATCCCTAAAAGTGGGACCTCAAAGAGCTGCCCCAAGGCCTCCCCAGGGGACTGCCTGCAAAGGTTCGTGCAGCGTCCGGCACGTGGGAACCTGGCATGCAGGGATAGCCTTGTGGTTTCTAATGGTACCAGCAGACGTGGGTCCTGCATCTCACTGCCCCTCCTCACTGCACTCCATGTGGGATCAGGACAGGCGCCCAACCCCCTTGGGCGGGCAGCTCCTTGCCCCGAGTCAGACCTTGGTACTATTGCCGTGGCATCTCACTTCCTGTCTGCACATCCTTTTGCCTCCAGGCCCCCGAGCACGCTCCCTGTAGCCCTGGTTCTCGGTCTCCAGGACGTGTGTCCACGGGATGCAGGAAGCGCAGCTAGGGAGGAGATGGGGGACAGTCCGGCACAGGTCCCATGTCAGTGGCGAGGGGAGGGCCGGCCGGTAAAGCCCCCTGATGGCGGCAGCCCTGGCCGCCCTCTTGCGTCGCCTGGTGGGTGCTGGAGGCTTTAGTGGGCCTGTTCTCTCCACGAGCCTCTGGGGGACGGGTGGGCCTCTTTTGCGGTGAGCGAACTGAAGCTCCAAGGAGTTACGGGGCGTTACCAGGACCGGCAGAGCTAGAATTCAAACGGAGTCTTGCACGCACGCTAGGTGTCTGCCTCATGTCCCAGGGACCTCCGTGAGGTCCTGCAGGCTCTGGTGAGAGGACGGTGAGGATCCTTCAACTCCTGAGCGAGGTGTCAAGTGGGTTCTCCGTAAGCCTGCGCTGCCTGTGGCGGAGCTGAGGCACAGAGGGGCTCAGGCCTGGGTCACATGGCCAATAGTGGGTCAAACTGACCCTGCCCCCAGGTGCTCAGCCTCCAGCTCCATCTTCATCCGTCTGCCTATTCATCCAGCCTTTCCTGGATTCCAGCACCAGTGAGGAAGGTGGTGTCTAGTGGTGACCCTTTGCTGGCTCCTGGCAGCCGCTACTTTCTTCCTGTGTTCATGCGTCACCTGTCCAATGATATTCTAGAATGTGCTCCCGGCTCCTTGGTCTGTAGCTTCAGCCCTCCCCTTTGCAAGCCCCATACCCAACACTACCACTGGTGGCCGGCGCCTCCCGGTCCCACCCACGTGGGTATCTGGGGTTGGAGCCTCTGGACGCCTCCTTCCACGGGGAACCCCTCACCAGGGTGCCACCGCTGGTTCTTTCCAGCCTGGACCTTCTCTGCCTGTGGCGAGAACACTGCCGCCGACCCCTCCTCACACCTCTTCCTAGCGCAGGCCTTTTTCTGCAGTCCTGTACCTAGGTCTGGGGGTCTTCCCTGGCCTCCTGAGTGACCCCCGCCCACACTCATGGTCCCTGTCCCGCCGGGGAAACAGTTTGGGTCCTTTCAGGGAGCCTCCGCTCTGGGACCTCTTCGCAGGAGCCCTCCCTGCCCTGCATGGGCCTGGGGCGTGGAGCCTGGGCACCCCGGAACTAGCCCAGGCTCCAGGCTCCCTGTCGGCCTCACAAGTTCCTGGGTACCTCTGTCCGCAGGGGAGGACGAGAAGCTGGCGTCCCTACTGGAGGGGCGCTTCCCGCGCAGCACGTCTATGCAGGACACGGTTCGCGAGGGCCGCGGTATCCCGCCGCCGCCGCAGACCGCGCCGCCGCCCCCGCCCGGTCCCTATTACTATGACTCCGGGCCGCCGCCCGCCTTCTCGCCGC